AGAGCGATGCATACGAGTTTGAATCCTCAAGTTCAACCAACCCAGTTTAGATTTTATTGGATTTTTGTGTTTCTGGAAGATTGTTTCTTCCCAGATTTTGGTGAAATATATGAAGTCTGCGTATATTTGACGGTTTGTATTGGTCAACTTGTTTCTTAATTTTTATGCAGCAATGGCATCCGGACAGGTGGACAAGAACTCCTTGTTTGTTGGGTGAAGCCAAGCGGAAATTCCAGCAACTTCAAGAAGCCTATTCAGGTGAAATTTATATAAAAAACTGGGTGGGATTTCTGTTTGAATTAATCATTAGTTATTATTTTATAATTTTAAAGAAGATCAATAGCGTCTTTGTTGTTTACTGTGTTCGCTTTGATCGGAGGATGCAGTGTTATCAGACCAGAGAAAACGAAGAATGTACGACGCTGGCCTGTACGAACCTGACGACGAAGAGGACGAGGTGGATATTTCTGTTCGTTGATTGGTTTTTTTTTCTTTAAAAAAAAAGGTTAGATGGTGTGTTGAATTGTGAGTTTGATTTCGTCTGTTGCTCTGTTATTTATGTGGAAAGCAGGGGTTCGGCGATTTTGTGCAAGAAATGGTGTCTCTGATGGCGGAGTCCAGAAGAGAGGCAAAGAGTTATAGCATGGAGGACCTGCAGGCGATGTTCATGGAGATGGTCCAAGGGTTCGGCCCTCCTCCGTCCTCTTGTTTAAGTGGACAATCCGCGGCTTTCGAACAATCTGGATGCTCGAAGAGAACACGGCTCGAATCTAGTTCCGGGATTGGGAGAGGTTCGGGTTCAGGCTCGGCTCTACATGCACCAAACGTAGGGATGTATGGAGATGGATATTTTTCGTTTTAGTGGGAAGGACAAAAATGATGAGAATGCTTTTGAGTGTTTGATTTGTTTGCATTTGTTGGTCGATTGAGTTGGTGATGGATGTGTATCCTCTTCTTTCTTTGGTGGGTTTCTTTGTCAACGCATTCTTTAGTAGTTTAGTGAACGGAAAAGGATCCGAGAATCCTTTTTGTTGGGATCCAAGGATCTATCAATTATAATCGTTCATCGTACATTGTGCGGTTAGAAATTGACTGTACGATGTACGATGACGATGAACAATCGTGATCGATGGATCTTCCGGATCCCTACAAAGAGGATCCGGAGAGGATCCGATGAGCAAAAAGGCAATTAAGTGAAATATTGTACAACAAGTTTCGGTTGCTCAAGTAACAATTTTTACTATGAATTTTTCACGTTTGAATCTTAGATTTTTATGCTTATGATTAAAATTTTGTTTATAAGAATCACTTCATAAAGATTATCCTTGCAAAAATGAATTAAGACTAATGTCGGTTAGTCAATATAGTGTAGTAAATATATAGGTGTTTGTAATATTTTGTTAAATTTTGTTCATCTGTTTTTATACAATTTATTGATTAAACGATTTTAATTTTAATTAATTTTTGCATTAGTAACGAATAATTTTAAATAGGAATTCTCAATCGTTTTTTTAACAGCAAGTATTATTCAACATTGTATGGGTTCTCTTTGGGTGGTGTACACGACTTACAACTTGTAGGCAAAAATTTGGGCAATTTTGTTGTTTTTTTCTCCTCCTAGTTTTACATTGGACTTGTATTTTCTGAATGCCCTTTTAGATTTTTATGGGCTTTGGTGGACTTGTATTTTCTGAATGCCCTGTAAGATTTTTTGGGCTTTAATCGTTTACAGCCCATCAAAGCCGAGGGGTTTCGCTACTATTTGGATTCAACTGTCAAAGTAGATGGTAGATTTGGCCCGTGCTGGATTGGTTATTTGTTTGGACTTTTTTTTCTTTCAAGGGTTTGTTTTAAGAGATTTTTAACGAAAAGCTTAAGGTACTGTTTATTTTAACGAAAAATCATATTTTTATACTAAAAGATCAATCATAATACTATTCACTTTACCCTTTATTTTGTCCTTATCGTTAAAGCTCAAAGTTTTCAAGCCATTTTCATTAGTTTTTCTTGCTTTTACAGTTGTTTTTGAGCGATTGGCTTCTCCTCTTACGTTTCTTTCTCTTGGATTTAATTGGGAAAAAGAACAGTATTCACGTAAATTAACGATTAATCTTTGTCCTAAAAGTCTGACAAAATACAAAATCTCTCTTAAAAATTGTTTCAATTAATAGAATGTTCATATAATTGAGGAGGTTGAGCTGGAAGTATGAAAGCCAACAAGAAGAGGGGAGGAATCGTAGATGCTTTAAGGGAAAATGGGTCGGTGCCTCTTTACCTATTAACGCATGTAGTAGATTCCACATTCCCCTATCTGTTCCCCCTTTTCCTATTCGTTTTCTTCAGGATTAAGTTCCCGTCATTACAATTTGATGATTTTTTTCCCTTCTAAAAATGAACATTGACATGTACCACTAATATCAGTAATTATTGTCCTTTTTTCTCGAAGTTAACTCGTAAATTATTCATTTTGATGATTGGACAATAACGTATGGTGGACACCAAAAAGAGACAGGGACATCTCTCCATCGGATCCCTTCACGATGGAAGTGGACGTAATTAGGGACTGGCTAGGTCATCAAACGTGTCTAATGTATGGCAAAGGAACCTTGGAATCTCTTTAAAATTGACAAGACTTCACTCAGGCAATGACGAATACGTTGATTGACCCGTATACGTGCCCCACGTGCCTCGGCAGCCAGTCATTGCAAGTCTTCCTCAAGACTGGAGCTCTTCCTCAGCAAGTCTTCGGCAACCCTAATCATCTTCTCATGCAGTCTCATCATACTTTTGTATTCGACCTTGCTAATGTGTCGGTATACTATAAGTTTCAGCAGACATAGAACTTATCGGATGACACTTCACACCAATTAGGCAGGTAATCCATCGATCTTGAACATGCACCAACCATCTGCTGCAACATGAAGATTTCCCCGAAATATGAGTCGGTCGTCCCAACATATAAGAATGTTCCAATTAATGATCCAATTTGTTTATGAAAACTCGGTCTCAAATGATGCAAATTAAGGGGTATCTTATTCAGTACAAGCATGGAAGTACGAGCAAAAAGTTAACTACATCGTAAACAAGAAAAATTTGAAGTAGCCAATACTTTTTAAAATTGCACTACGAATACGATTGTATGAGATATGCTAAGGAGACTCTCAATGAGATTTTTTTATAGAATATCTATTATCTCACTATTTAACGTTAATTCATGTGCTAATATTATAAACATTGCACTAAGAGCAAGTCCAGCGGGGACAAAATGTCCCAGCCCTCAGTCCAAAAAACAAGCCAGGCCCCTGTTAATCAAGTCCACCCCCTCAAGTTGACTGGTACCCAGCCCGAGCTAGGCTCTGGACCAGCCCAAAAGAGACTGAGCAAGAAGCCGGGCTGTTGGCCTGGCGCGTGCGCTTCACGCAGGCGTGGCGCGAGTGCCCGACAGGCTTTCAGAGCCCGGGCCCGCGTGCAGGCGTTGTCAGTTCCACCCCCCGAGTTTGCGACGTGGCTCCCTCTCTGCCGTTGGATTTCCAACGGCTAGTTTTCTAGACCGTTGGATTTCCAACTGTAAAAAAAAATTAAATTTTACTTTTAAAATAGACCGTCGGATCAAAAATCAACGGTCCACGTTTTTTTCACAAAAAGTAAATAAAAAAAAGGGCCCAACGGTCAGAAATATGACCGTTGGCCACGTGGCAACTCCCTGACTCTTGGATTTGAATATTTTTCAAATCCAACGGTCCAGATTAATTAACTATATTAAAATTCATTAAAAATTATTAAAAAATACAGAAAAATTATTAAAAAATACAGAAAATTTTAAAAAAATTACAGAAATTTTTGAAAAATGTTATTTTTTTTCCTATAAATACCTAACCCTCATCTTCCACCTTTACACCACATTTCAATATTTTCTACACTTTCTATACTATCTACATTTCAATATTTTCTACACTTTAAGAGAAAAAAATGTCTTCATGGAAGCTCATTGAAGATGTTACGTTGTGTGAATGTTGGGTTCACACTACTCATGACCCGATTACGGGTAATGAGATGGATAAGCGAGAAATGTGGAGTGACGAGATTGGTTAAAAATCTTAGCGGAAATCTATTCACAAAATAGTACGTTCAGATAATGACACGTGGCGTGACGAGATTGGTTAAAAATCCTATCCGAAATTAAAACTATTTTATTTTTTTTATTCTTTTAGACAAAATTTAAAAATATTTTAAATGGGCTGGGTGCCAGCGCATTTTGTAGGGATGGAGATCGTTTGTGCCAGCGCATTTTTTCACTAGGTGCCAACGCATTTTTTTAGGGGTAGAGATGCCTTGGCCTATTACTGTTCATTGGAGTATGTTACTGTTCATTTGAGTGGATAAATGCGCTGAGTGCTGGCGCAAAGTCCTTAGGGGTGGAATTGCTCTAAAAATATAAAAGGGACAGAGAGTCCATGAAATGCTTTACTTTTTGAAATAGTCTTTTTAGCATTTCTTACGAAGGTAAAATTTCTTACAATTTTTTACATTAAACCAGTTATCTTTAAATTCAATCAATGCATTATTGTACGGAGATTTACTCCCGGTTTCTTCCCCTCACTATTTTCTAAGATTTTGTTATGTTTCAGAAAATGTTGTACATAATACTATGGATATCGGTACATTAAAAAAAGGAGTTTTAATAAAACACTTAAAACACTTCCGGTATTGTTCACTTTTAACGAAAAATCATATTTATACATTTTTCTGGTACTATTCACTATACATTTAAAAAGAACTTTTCATTAAAAAGATTTTTTTTTTTTAACTTTTCGTTAGTTTTTTTTTTTAAAATTGATTGCATGTATATACGCCCATACACCCATTAGATATGAAATGTAAATGGTGGTGGGGTCGACTAATTTGGACCATCCACATGCAGTGCAATTCCCTGGTCCAAAAAGCAACATCCTTCCACCGATGACCTAGTGGAAAAAGAGCCCCATAAGAACACGTCTCTCACTCACTCCAGTTTGCCCATCAAATTAATCCTCTTTCTTCCTAACGCACCAAAACCCACAAGCCCTACAGCCAAACCACTTTCTTTACCTTCTTTCAAGTTTCAACCCCCCATGCACCTAATAACGTAGCAAACCACCGCCTGTTCCTCTCCTTCAAATTCATAGCAACCAACGTAGACGCATAATCGATCAAGATTTTAGACAGACGAGCCAGCATTATGGCGATCAAAATGCAATATGGCTCGAAACATCCGGCGGTGCTAATAAGCATGGTCCTTCTGACTGCCTACGTAGTAGGCCCAGCCCACGGGGATGACACCCCAGGCGCGCCCGGCGAGGGCAAGTGCGGCTCGTGCACTCCAAGCCCACCTTCGCCGGTTCAATCCCCACCACCACCACCACCACCATCACCGTGTCCTCCTCCACCACCAAAATCGCAGCCACCTTCTCCCAAGAAGCCGCCTTCTCCCAAGAATCCACCGTCACCATACTCGCCTGGTCAATACCCGCCTCCACCGCCTTCATCGTTGGTATACATCACAGGTCCGCCAGGGCAGTTGTACCCTGTCGACCGGAATATCAACAGTGCCAGTCGGAGTTCGGTTAACGCGTTGCCAGTTTTGCTAGGACTGCTGGGTATCCTGGCTTTTTGGTGATCAGTTATGACTTGTTAATTCATATGGTAAGTACGTATTACAAAATTAATTCAGATGATTATAAGGGAGATAAAATTGAATTTCTGGGTGTTATAGTGAAGGATAAAGAGTTTGAAGGCAGGATTATCAGTTTTTGTAATCCAGGAAACTATTAAGGGCCCAAGGATTGGTTAATAATTTTGTTAATTCTTGCTCTAATCTCATATCTCGCCAATTGTGTAATAATCTTCCATAAAATCTTTCAAGTTCAATTTTATTATGAATAGCATTAGAGTACATAATCACTTTTATTTTTCCAATCTCATAAGTTTTGTTTTCTTTCGTTCAATTCTGGTGCCTTGCTCTCAAATTATTTTATATTTTTGGCTTATATTAGCAATATATTATAATAAATTCATTTAAATTACGAAAATTTAAAAATTAATATTGAAATTTCATTGCTTTCGTAATCGATGCGATCGATCCTGTGGAACTTGATTGAGTGTGTATGGATCCGACAACCCAACTCACCAGCTTGCACTTCCACTGATGTCTTAATTAAAAAACTTCGTTTCATTTGTGGACCCTCTAATTATATAACGTCTGATGTGCTTGTAGCTTAGGTAAGGGGTAAGCTCATGTGTCCACGTGGCATGTGCTATGTGGACTCGACTATGAATGTGATTCAAGGCAGAACTTGTGCATTTTGTCCACAGATTTTTCAATTGCGTATGTTAGAAAACTTCCTATGATAGTCTCAATAGTTTGGACTCCGCGATTGTACAGAAAACGAACGGTTAGAATTAAATTGGAGAAATACTATTTTTGCTTACTTAACAAGCTAATGAATATACAGTTGGACTACCCAAGTGCTTTAAAAAATTAAAATTTTGAAAAAATATAACGACAATGATGCGTTTGTATGTACATGAGTACTAGTTGGGTGTATTCATTTTTAATGAGAAAATGGTCATCAGATGCGAACAGTAGACAATACAATATGCAATCCAAAACCAAAATACACAATTTTCGCAATCTGTGAAAGGGCCGTTGATAAAATAAAATACATACAATGCACAACAACTTTCTGAGGCATGCAAACTAAGCTCTTTTCCATAAAGGTTTAAAAAAGTCGACACACAGTATTTCAACAAAGTTATAAAAGGGCTAAGCGGTGGGTAAAGATTTAACGTCTTAGTGTCTAAGTAAGGTCTAGACGAAGATTTTTAGAACAATGATTTTAATAACTCTGATTATCAAAATAAATAAATTCATGACAGAAAAAATATAAACCGATAAAGTTTTCGTCGTACACCAAGTAAAATTTAGGGTGATCGAGATTGTTCTTGAGGATGAGTTAACCCTAACAAAACTTAATGTTCTTAGAGAAGAACTTGATGTAATCAGAAGGTTGAGGTGGTATTCAATCTTCAAACAAAAACGATACGCATTTTGACGTTTTGTTCTGATTGCACATAAATTTCTTTCGTCGGTTGATGTGTTCACATCATAGCCAATTATCACGAAGGTTCACATGGACTGTCAAATTTGGGTACGTGGGCCGGTCGCTGTGACATGCTAAAAAATGCCGACCATTTGATCTTGATGTCAGACTTCATTCCATTCCGTTAACGTGTCAAATGTCGAAAAGTGCATCTGCTTCAGTGCTTGTAAAAGAAAGATCAACTTCGGTTTCACCAAACTATGGTCCCATGCTTTCTTTTTAGAAGTATTTTTACTCATCGTCCTCTCTTCACCGCCTTACATCCTATTTATTATAATTATAAAAGTTTAAATTTCGAAATCTATATCTATGTATATAGATCTTGAAATTTAAACGTATATAATAATAATAATAAATAAAATCACGAACATTACGACCATTTGAAGACAGTAACAAAATATTCTCTCTTTTCAACATCATATTAATCTTGAATTTTATAAACAACCAACGACTGGTGGGTCGTCGGTCAATTTTCATCACTTTAAATAGTCTCCTAGGGCAGGTTTGGTAATTAAGTTTGATTAAGACTTAGCTAGTTGCCATTATCTACTAAGCACCATTCATGGATGCACCAATTGGAAGTGGCAGTTGTGCTGACTGGTTTTTTAATGCATTGCTCTAGAGTCTGGATAAAATCATTAGAGTTAGAAATTGCATATTAAGATGTGACAAAAACAGAGATAAATCCAGTGCTTAATTTAGTAAGGATTGTGATTCCTTAATTATATGGGTCGCGTGCAAGTCTCTGATTGGCTCTAGGAAATCCAAGTTGGCAGCTCATTGATAAGGTTAACCAAGTCACCAACCATCCAACCAAACATAACAGATTGATGGTAAATCATCAAATCAATGTTCATGAAATTGAAGACCAACCCATTTTGATTTCGAGTAAAGAAGAAACGATAAGCAATGCTGAAATGCATTTATTACTCTAATTAACTGACTTAATTTACATATGTATATCTTATGACGTTAATTCGATGAAAAGAAAACGTTTAAGATAAAAAGGTGATGCATGATTCTCATCTAGCATCATACGTGTGTAAAAAAGACAAATCCATTCTATTATTTACAGCCACGTTTATAGATTTCAATTTCAAAGTTATAAGATAGATAAATGTTTTAAAGGAAGTTTCTAATTGTACATGTTCTCCCAAGGACTTTTTCTAACATCACAGCTCACCTCTTTCTATAGGTGATGATAAAGCAAAGCATCATTCCTTTCGAATACCCAAAATTCACACTTAAAAGATTGCAACACTTTCATCATACTTGCTGAAAACACAATTTTGATATTAGTCAATAAATTGTTGAGAGAGTGAATTTCCACCAAGTAATTCATCCCAAATATCTAACTTTTTAAAATAAAAATTGAAGATTTCTTATTGATAGAAAACATAAATAATTGCATATCATTGGGTAAGCAAAATTATTTTAAATTTTGGCCAAAATAGTGTGCTCGTCCAGTCCAACTTAAATTCATCATCATCATATTAGGGCGATTTAGAAGGCACGATGTTCAGGGGGTCCTTATGGTCCTAATAACTTTAGTAGAATCAATGGTAGCTATAACTAACCACCACGGGGTGGTTCAATAGTTGTGGATAAATTTTGGGTTCGTATTTCACACGACACATCCTAAATTCGATTCTTGGCACTAATGATTCACATGATGGTGGCCATGAAGAGACTGCAATGCCTCTGTGACTTTTCACGGTCACAAAAAAAAAAAAAAAAAAAAGACTGCCACCAACTTGTCCATTTAAAAAAAAATGGTAGTTGTAACTACCATGTCAAAGGGGTTTGCTTATTTAAAATCGCAGGGTACCAAATAATGGATGAATCTGTCTTAGGTGTAAGAAATAGAATGGTAAACCCTATAATTCTCTTACAAAAATCATAGTAATCATGTTATTTAGTGAGTGATCGAATTTTATATATGTTGGGTTGCATTGTTCATGTTCGTCAAAATTACTTCTCAACCTCTGCTCACTTTTTGCTTCCGTCTGTGCGGTTGTGCCTTCAAGTTTGCTCTTTGACTACGTGGCAGCAAAGAAAAATCATCGGAATTATTCAAAAGCCTTTCAATTGCATCTTTCTACACCTGTCTGTCTCTTTCCATGATTAATTTGCTTATCAAATATTTTTCACAAATATTAATTATGCTTATTTAGAAGAACATCGTTAGGTGTGGAATTTAGCTGGTGGCTGTCGACAATAATTTGCTAGATACGCATGCATATGGTCGCACATATACGCACGGCCAAAGCGACTTTAAATTTTATTTTTATTTTTTGTAGTTTAAAATTTAAAGACATGCATGCCTTGAAGGACTAGTGTTTTTTTTTTCCTATAATATTAGAGGTTTCGAATTTTGAACCTGTAATTTACTTCAGTTCATCACTTTATCGCTTTTACCTAAGAGCAGTTCCACCGGAGGTGGAATAGCCCAGCACCCAGTCAAAAAATCAGGCTGGCACCTTGTCAATTCACTCCAGCCCGTGAAATCGACTGGCACCCAGCCTAAGCCAGTCCACAGGCCGGCCTAAAATCGACAGACCTTGGGACCGGCCTATCTGACGTCAGCGTGGCGTCGGAGGGCATATGACGTCAGAGAGGGAGTTGCGCCAGAGAGGGAGTTGTTGTGGAGGCTGAGGAGCGGAGCTGGTCGAGGCGGGAGAGGATGTCGAGAGGGAAGGAACCACGGAGGGAGAACGACGGGAGGACGAAGCGACAACGTCAGAGGTGTGGAGATGCAGGAGGACGAATCGACGGCGTTGAAGGACAGGAGGTGTGGAGATGTTGTAGAGGAGTTAGTTGTTGAGATGTGGAGATGCAGGAGGTGAGGAGATGCATGAGATGTAGGAAGTGCAGGGGTGGATGGCGTGCAGAAATGGAAGGGAAAGGAGGTGTGGAAGATGAGAAAATAATAATATTTTAATAATAATTTTTTTTTTTTATAAAGTTAGAAATTAAAAATAAAATAATAATTTTTTATTATTTTATAATAAAAAATAATAATTTTTTAATAAAATTGACCTATTACTGTTCATTGTGGTATATCACTGTTCACTTGAGTGGATAAATGTGCTTGATGCTGGCGTAAAATCTTTAGGGTTGGACTTACTCTAACAGTAGCGTTTCGAATTTTGAACATAATCTACTTCTATTCATTACTTTATCGCTTTTACCTAACCAGTAGCTTTATGCCAGAAGAATGTTCCTTGTAATCATCATGTCCCCTTTTATATATAGTGAAGAATCAAATGAACAACTCATTAGTCACTAGTGATCTCTTCGATACTCGGCTTCTTTCGATAGTTTGGCAAGATCCAATAATATAGCAGATTAACACAAGTTTCAAGTTTGAAGAAGCTAGCTAGGGAACAGGATACAATTCCATCGAAATTGGGAGAGAGATGAATAAAGCATTATTAATTTATTTGCAGAGATGACCAACTATAGGGTTTTTCACCAAAACAAAATAAATGTAAGTTTCTCAAACATTGATCAAATTAAATCCTGCAGGTTGGTTTAAGTGATCTGTTTTCATCCAAGCCATTGAAACTATTGCCTCAGCAAAAACATATTTCCTTCTAGTTAGCAATTCACAAGTATATAATCATCACAGAATGACTCAATGGTTCGGGACGAATCACAAGTATAAGTTATGACATAAAACATTACTTGGGACAGGTAGCAAAGAAATATATTTTAGGAAGTGATAATTTATCCCAAAACTAAAATGATTGAGTTTCAGTCATGTAAGGCTGCTATCATATGACATTTCTTAATCTTTGACGTGCACCCTCACTACGCAAGGCCAATAATTGCAGATAATTACAATAATAGTTAGCTAGCCCAGTCCCACACAATTTCCTCTAACTTTCCTCCAATACGTACGTCTAAGCTCTCCCCAAGTGATTGGGGCTCACTATAGTTAACTAGTGTGAAACTGTTTGGACCCAAATTTACATCATCGGCCCGTGTAATCGAGACCGTAGAGTAAACATAGTTCTCAGCCGTCGGATGGAAAAGTGAAAATATTTTTGTTAAAAGATAATATTATGGTTTTATCATAATTATCTTTTAATTTGAATTATCTTGACATATTCTTAAACGGGATGGATATGATGCAAATTATATCCTCAAGTAAGAGGTACAGTTCAAATTAATTTGGATGTTTAGCAATGAACGTGCAGATTGAAAAAAAACTTGGGGATTTGATGATTTTAAAGTCATGATCTTGGATAATGATGGGATAAGGAACCTAGGTAGACTAGGTCTTTTTACATGGTGATGGCAAGACGGTTCAGGCTGCCGCACGCCTTAGACGTCATTATGGGGGATTGGCCATGTTAGAAGACGCCACGTGGCGAGTGGGTTAGCAGGGTCAAGATCGTGCGATCGTGCTCAATAAATGCGCCTTGGAACTCGGGTATTAGGATCCTGAGTGGTAGATTCGCTTCTTCAAGGCCGAAACTCGGCCGAAGGTTTCAGGCCGAGGACCTCAGAAGCGAGGGGGCAATGTTTGGGCCCAAAATAATAGTTTGGGCCGAGGGTAGGATCACTCTCGGCCCAGGAGGCCGGGCGGCAAAAGGACCATGGATCGGTCAACCCGTGGGAGTCCAAACCTAGGGCGGTTAGGACGAATCCTAGTGCAATGGGGAGTCTCGACGGGATCGGATATCCAGGAAACTAATCCAGCTTAGCTAAGGACTAGGTTCATAGTCCTAGTAGGTGTAGGATTGGTCGAGGTGATCCGGAGATGGAAACCTAGTCCGAGTAGGATGTAAACTCGGACTCAAGGTTCAGTACTATAAATAGGGGACGCTGTGCATCAGGAGAGCCCTACAAAATCAATACAAAATTGCCTTGCGCAAACTCTCACAACTTGTGATTTTTCTTTTTCTTTTTCGCTGACACATCTTCCGTTGGCATCAACAGCACTGTGAAAGCAACCGGTGATATCTTAAGTCGGCATAGATAGCTCTGTCACCGTAGAATCAGCCGATCTCGCAGCATCTTCCGTTGGCATCAACAGCACTACGGCGAGGACGACTGGTTACCTATCCAAGTCTCGGTCGAGAAGGATTTCCGAATTCTTATTGGTCGAGGTCATCTCATCAGCCTTCTCGGCGAAGTGAGGTGTTACCAGGTTATTGTATTCGGCACGTTGAAAGCCGAATTCGGTTCGTGAACTTCGCATTTTAGCAGCCTTGTCTTCAGGCTCTAGAACCCAAGAGGCCGAGAATTGTTCCTTCCTCGGCCGCAATCGCAAGACACAGAAGTCATCAGCGCGCTCAACGCAACATCAACAAATTTACTCCTCGGCCGAGCTCGGCCGACGAGTTGGCACGCCCCGCAATCACCGAAGGACGTAGTTAGCTTAGAAAATACTCGGCCTGCGCGCCACGTAGGCTCTGTAGTTTCTAGGGTCAACAGAAACTCAAGTAAATTAGGATTTACCAAATGTCCCATGACTTCAAATTATACAAATTCGGGTGACGTTTGAGCTCAAAAAGAATGATTAGTGATTTTAACCTAACTGAACTGTATGTTTTTTTTTTTAACGTAAGGCCTAGGAAGTTCGAAATGAGTTGACATCCAAGAACTACGAGGTGTGTATAAAGAAGTTTGTTCACTTGCACAAGTTAATTAACTTCAAAATTTGTTGATTTAGCAGGCTACTATCGATTTTAAATAACACTAATAGCCAAGTTTAAAAGTAAAAGTGAAGGTAATTAGGATGATAGGTAAAAAAAGACTACATACAGGGTTCTAAACTTCTCGTATAACGGAAAAAAAAATATTCATAAAACAAAGGTGTATGAATGTGACATCTTCTAGCTATACAGGGTCTAAAACTAGGGTAAGGTTTCAATGCTACATATTATACCTTGTTACGGGTATTTTAGCTATTGGATTTGATTGTTACTACTACTTAGAATTTTTTATGTTTAACCTCAGCTATTCAATTTTTGTATCATTCAATGTTATGTAGTATTGAAGAAAAATTGCTAAAACTTTTAGAATTTGCTTTTTCAACAGTCCCCCTTTTGGCCCCCTCTATATTTTCTTTCTTTTTATTTACTCATTGAGTCATGACAAGACTCTCAAAGTTTTCTTTCTAATGGTACTAGCAGAGAGCACACATTTTGTGTGTGTGAACAAAATAGGTATATAATTGTCATTTTCTAAAAAAATAAGGGTAAAATAGAAAAAATAGGGATATGATTGTCATTTTGTCAAAAGGTACAAAATTAAAGCCTCTTCAACCGTTCATCTCCTCCCACGTTCTCCTCAAGCGCAACCGCTTCAGTTCAGTCAAACTATCCAAAAAACATCATGATTTCACTTACGTGTATGAAAAAAATGATGGTGAGACAATTTCGCTTAATAAGTGCATATGTTTTATCTTATGTAAATATTTCGATATAAAATTACTATTTTGCCCTCCTTATGTAAATATTGTGTATCAAAAGTGAGGGCAAAATAAGGAAAAAAAGGAAAAGTTCATAAAATACAAACTTACTATTTTACCCTTCTCATGTCATCATTGTGTATTCAAAAGTAAGGGTAAAATTAAAAGAAAAATGGGCAAAAAGTTGACAAGGGCTCTTCTCTTACCTCCACCAACTCCACTCGTTTTCACATTTTGTTTTCTTCCCCAAACCTCTCCTTTTCCTTCCTCTCTCATTCATTTCCCTAAGATCCCACACCATATTCAATTCGATCTCCCATGGCTGCTGCAAAGATAAACCCACTTATCCTGTCAGCTCTCTTTTTGTTCTCAATAATGCTCAGCTTTCCCGCAATAACAATATCAGATAATCCCTGCGCATACCCATGTTATCCTCCACCTACAGGCACCGGGAGCACTTCTACTCCAACAACTACGACCACCACAACTCCATCGCCTCCGTCGTCCCAAACCGGGTCATACCCGCCCCCGGCCGTCGTCAACAACCCAACTGGAAATTACCCGTACAACCCTCCTCCGTCTACTGATAACGGTGGTTATGGTTATGGTGCTAATCCTCCTCCTGACCCCATCTTACCTTATTTTCCATTCTACTTCAAAAACGGCGCTCGTGGAAACAAAGACGCTTCGTCGGCAACCTCTGTAATCAGAAGATCGTCAACTCTCTTCAACACTATCGCCACCACCCATCTTTTCGTTGTATTCGTCTACTTTTTTAACTTTCTGTAAAATTAGTTAAAAAGCCATCTTGTTTTAATGAATTAATTAGCTTAGTCACAATTATCTCTCGTTGGAATGATCAAACATCATGTTTTGTTTAATGAAATTAATCATGTTAAGTATTTTTATGATATTATATTCAATTTTTAAAAAATTCTTGAGTAAACGTCCAGACGCTTTAGATTACAAACACATGTTATGCATTTGATCTCTTCCATCAATACATTTAGTTGTAAATATGATTAGGTAAATTGAGGATTGGCACTGGAAGTGAGAGAAACAGAAAAGTGATAAGAAAGAAGATGAAGATGACGATATTATACTCGTTTTCTTTTGTCTTAAGGTGCATGATTTGAGTATGTTTTGACGTTTTGTAACCACCAATTTGTATATTACATCACTTGTTTTGCTTATCTTTTCACAACAGGACAGAAAATATCATTAATTTTACAGTCGGCAGGTCCATGGAAACTTCACGATTCCTAGTTAATTATCCTCCTCTGGCTCCTTCCTTTCACCTTTGTCTTCATTTCAAATTTTTAAATACGGTGAAGGACCCTCATTATCATTAACAGTTTATTTAAGAAATATTTTTAAATGATTAAAAGCGTTTTTAGAAAAAAAAATATTTAACTAATAGACGGAGAACTGGTTATTAGTAGGCTGCCTAGGGATAAATGTGGTCTGATTTCTTTAGCGTGATTCTTTTTAGCTCTTTAATTGGAAATTATATTTATCAATTTTACGGTCTAATATAAGACATGGTACTTAGCTGGAGATGATCTTACAACCATGAATCAAACGCAATAAGTATAATCCAATATCTATTAGGGTAATAGGTAGGCTTAATTCATGGTAGGGGCCTTATGTTTGGTATTTACTATTTAGAGTCAAAAGTAGAGACAGATGGGAGTATGGAGTATATCTATCTCCCCTACGACATTCCAACCCACACAACCTTTTAAGCACCAGATTCCAACTTTTCATCACTTGTTTCTTCAGGGACCTGATTGAAACAATTAAAAAAACTACATTGACCAAAATTGAAATCTGAGTCAAACTATTCGCGCAAAACACGGTTTTGCCCTAACATATGGTGCACTTGCCGTGCACGTAACTCTCCCATCAACAAAAGGAACGGAACTCTAACTTACAACCGAATCTAAACAACTGAGTACTTCACTGAAACAATTGAAGTTAGGAGTCAAACTAGTTAGTGACTTTTCTGAGTGTTTCATACAACAACGATAACAAAAAAGTATTATTTCACTACTTGGAGTTGACTGTGTGAATTCTAGAATGCCGAATGTTTCATGGGCATGAAAAATATCAAGGAGAAATCTCAAGATGAGATATCCGGGATTTTATCCACCAATCCGTAAAGATGGGTCAAGTTTCTCCAACTTTTCATGCCACAATTTTTATACAAGCGATGATGAAGAAGATGGATTAATCAAATTCGAGACATCAAATTTAAGAGCGAATGCACTCATTAATCCATTTCAAGATGCTTGATTACATTGGAAGATGACCTGGTTTCATCACACGATGAATAAATTTAATAAAACTTTTAATTTATAAAGGTGGCAAGAGGGCCTAGGCTTCCAATTTTTCTACTCCCTCAAACAGCACAACCATATATTATTATCCCTTCGTCTGCATGGTTTGTTACAAGCTTTGCTTTCATTAAATTTCAGGCTTGCAGTGTTCATCCTGCACGGCTGAATATATTTGATCTCTTGGTGTTCATTCATGAGGCAACACCAACCGTTAGATGACCCATTCTTGAACTGCTTCCAAAGCCGACACCGCCTTTCATACCCTTCCTTGCCATCTCTCTGCCATTTTTTTGGACTCCCACTTTCTGCTTCCCTTCAGCTTTCTGACTTTTTGCCATTTTACCGCTCTCTAATAACCGATGTTTCTGCGTATAATTAGCATCCTTCTCCCTTCCTTTCGTCCTGGGGTGTTCACTTTTAGTTGCAGTATCCCGGGATAAGTTTCTGCTGCTCAGTGTAGCTGAAGAAACTGAACTAGTTTCAGAGGGATCAGCCATGATGCTGTTAGTTTCTCTCGAGGCCTCATGCAAATCAGCTGTGTTTACAGAAACGTTAGCAGTGGGAGGTTCAACCTTGCCTGCCTCTGAATGTGATGGAAATCTTGCAGCGGCTCCACTCCCTGGATTTGTTGACTTGCTTTGTACTTTAGAGAATTTGGTAGATACAACCTGAAAAATATATAGAAAATCCATGATATCGCGGTTAACGGGGCCCTTATTTTTCAAATTTCCATTTCAAAATCTTGTTCACATTCCGAAAAGAACTGTTTGGTGCAAAAAAAAAAAAACATAAAATGATAAAGCATAGCATAGATCGAACTGCCGAATAGAAAAAATTGGGTGCTATCATATAACTTTGTATCGGCTAAATTCGCGAGTTGGAGATAAGTGGACTCGAACCGCTAACATCTGCCACCGCCTCTCAGGGCCCCGACTATTTCTACCATAGAGGCCAATGATACACAATAACTCCCTCCGAACATAGCTTACAACTTTCATTAAACTGTGCTTTCTAAAAATCAACTCTTCTCAAAATCTCAAAGGGAAAAGTACTGAGTTGGAATCCCTTTCTAACCAAGGATTCTTGTGGTTCCAAAGGATCTAGCTACAAGAGAACAAGGAACGGAGAGCTTTTCCCCCCTTTTCCACCCGACTCCTTGTTCTTAAAAATGCTGGTTTTAAGAATGAGTGATTGCCCTTCTTCGATCCTTACTACCCAACCTAAAAGCGGACAACTAATGCAGTCAACTTATTGAACAGGGTTCTATGGTCGGTTTGCGACCCCCCGGATGCCGAAGGCGTCCTTAGGGTGATCTCGTAGTTCCTACGAGGTGGAGATGATGGGGTCGGTCCATGAATTTTTCTTCCTTTTGCCGCATTTTCGCTCAAAGGGTTGAAGGGAGATAGTGCATCAAGATGTTCCTAATGGCCAACTTGATCTTCATCCCCATGGATCCCAGATGAGGGAACCCTAGAAAAGTTGCCGACTCTAACTATTGTTTATGTATGATCCATACTGGATATGACCAACTGCCCATCCTACCTCCTCTACGTTCTTGACAGCCCATCTTTGTCTCAGTAGAGTCTTTCAATGGCATGTTTCAGTCCTCTTCCCTATTACTTGGAAAAAGTGAGCCACCAGTTCAGGTACAAGATACTATCATTACCGCCTGGACAATTAGACATCCAACTCATAATCGCAACGAGCCAATTGCAAGAGCGGAGCTCTACCAACTGAGCTATATCCTCCCGAGCCAAGTGGAGCATGCATGAAGGAGTGAAATGCTTCTTCTATTCTTTTCCTTGGCGCAGCTGAGCCATCCTGGACTAGAACCAGAGACTTCACCCGTGAAGTAAATCATCACACCTACGGTCCAATCAATTGGGAGAGAATCAATAGATTCCTTTTCGGAAGCGATTCATCCTTCCCGCAGGAGTTTTAGGCAAAGTGGTGAACCATGCAACACAGTGGAACAAAAAGTCATCCTCTAATCTTGAATTTATGCTCTATTTCAAATTTGAACTCATCGATTCACTTGGAAGTTCATGCCTTTATGAATGGCAGTTATTTACCTTGCTCCCATCAGGCGCTGCATTCACAGCTACATGGTAGAAGGAAGGCATTGGTGCTGCTTTAAAGTTGAGGCTTTTGCGGAGTTGTCTCATCTCAGCTTCGGCTTTTTCCTGCAATAACATTAACCGAAACCCGTTGAGAATATTAAGAGAAGTTTCATTAGCATGCATTCAGGAAAATTCAGCAATAACATTAACCGAAACCCATCAATCATGCATCTCCCTCAGTTATATACTTTATCATCCAAATAGGAATTAGAACCGCCGTTGGCAAGTACAGCACTAGTTTGAAGGATATAATTATCTTTTCAACACATTGATGCATCCGAAAATATGAATTTGTGAAATAATTCTGTATTATATTCACATGAACGTAATCAAATGATTTCATATACCTGCTTTTTTGCTTGGATCTTATTCATCTCATCTTCCTTGGCATGCATTTTTTCTTCCATCTTTGTGAAGAACTGGATTGTATGAGCCATAAGGACAAAGGAACAAGTCAATTTCAGCATTGTAAGCCATATAAATCTGAAACCAAAATCTAAAGAAACAACAAATTCAGAGAAAGTACATGGTGGCTTGCCTCTTTCCTCCTTTCTGCTCGTTCAGAACTTTTGAAATTGAAAGTTGCAACACTTGATCTTATATTAGACTTGGTCAAATTGACTCTTTGGTGAAGCCTATACGAGAGAGGAATACAGAAGGGTGACTTCACGAAAATTTTACAGTTTGAAAGATAGAAACACTCAAAGCATTCAGTAAGAAATTCTAATAAACCTGTTTGCCGTTTGGCGTCCTCTGGACTCAGGCTTGACGGCAGGAGGTTGAGGTTCACCAAGTTTCTTACCACTAGAACAATGCAAGAAGTATGCATATGAGGTTCCATTCAGTAAAGCATCTAGGATTTCTACTTGCAATCACCAATATATACCTTCTACTTTCGTGAGCAAATTTTCCCTTCAGATTTGTAGATTCCTGCGTGTAGAATCCAAAGGCACACCGTTTTTAGAGAAACCAATATGCTTATAATATACTATGTAGAGGGTGAAGAACATCATTAAGACGATAAAATGCTTACCTCTATTTTGGAGTCCTGGGAACTGATTGTGTAGTTGGAATGGCGGTTTTTCTTCGTGTACCCTCTCTTTCTCTTGTATTAGAGTTCTTTGTACAATCTTTAGACGACTCAGAAGAAATACTTCTCTTAACCGGAGAAATGCTGGCCTTAGATTTTACTCTGGACTTGGAAATTTTGCATTCTTTTCCAGCCTTCAACTAGACAGGAAATCGAGGAATTTATAGTTAATACTGATACCAACTAAACAAAAATGAGTTAATAGAAGAACATACCTTTGAAGAAGAACTATGCAAACTTTCCACAATCGTCATGTTAACTTCATCATCTGCTGCAGTCTTGGGGTTTATCTTAACAGAATTATATGATTCATCAGCATTCACAGCATCACCATCATGATTCTCAATTACATTGTTCTCTGGTTCATCGATAATTGAAGAAAACATGTCACAACCTTTTCCAATTTGATTTGTTTCCTCGGAATTATCATCTTTAATAGCGACCAGAATATCTTCATCGTTCAACTCTGATGCCCTCTGAAGATCAGACAATGAAACTTCAGGATCTTCCTTTTCATATTCATTCACTTGACTGTCTCCGTGGTACTCTGAACCCTCGGAGCCCTCATCAAATTGAGCGCAACTGTTGTCTTCATTTCCGTCTTCAAATTCTTCTCCGTACGCATCACTCTCCAAGACACCATTTTCACAGACTTGATAACTTGTACCGCTATAGCACTCAACTAAATTTGGTTTGGGAAAACCTTTCTTCTTGAAATGAGCTTCGAAGTAAGCTTTCCGCTCAATAACTGAACCCGGTTTCAAGCATTTTTCAACCTCTTCAACATATCTGTTATGCGAGAACGACGACCACTTTTCCCAAGATAAAACTTCGTTTTCGAACCTCCCAAATGATATGGAACCAGAGTGTAAAGAGTCTGCCTGTCCATTTCGAAGAAGTAGCTGTTATAAAAGCAGATGACTACAAAACAGAATGAATCACTAAACATAATTTGTCAATTCATCCACTAGTTTGAAAATTCGTAGCAGAATGGCACATTGTGGGAGAATGGATGCATTAATATCCAATTTCGGAGCACTTCTACTGAAAGTAAATCAAAGGGATGCAAATCAGCGATCAGAAAAACAGATCAGAGTTCACTAATCACCCCGGTATGCAATTTCATCGCGCTTTTGGTACGATTTACTAATTACCATAACGTGAACATTCCATTTAATCAACCTCTAGGCGTATATTTATATCCGTCTTTGAACCTCATATCAAGCACATAAAATTAAACGGTTATCAAACGGGCCATAATCTTCCTGATTAAGCAGTTAATCTCATACTGGTGTAGAATTTAAGAAGCATTCTCACTAACAAAATTATTAAAGAGCATAAGAAGAGAAGTACCTGAAAGCTAAAACTAAAGGGCTCTTCTATCTCCCCAGACATCACTACAATCTGCCCTCAAAACCTCAAAGAAATGCCAATCTTTCAGAGACAAAATCAGAAATTAATAAGCAAGCAAAACATGGGAAGCAAGTCCATTAATTTATCCAAAACCCAAATGAGCGAGTTAAATAATTGCAAGAAAAGTTAAGAATTTACCTTAGTCAAAACCCCATATCACAGCTACAAGAAAAGCATATCAAACAGTGCTGTGGGATTGGATTCCAGAGGATGAAACAGTTGGGTTATGAAGAATGAAGGAGCTAAAATGTTAGTCGGGAATCAGAAGCAAGCGTGTTAGGAGCAAAAACACACTCACATGCATCTAGGACACAAAACCCACTTGTCTGTCTTTGTCTTTAGATCTTGGTTTCGTGTTTTTTGCGTTGCAAGATTAGATCTTGTTGTTTGGCTAACAAGCTTCCGAGGTTTCTAGAGAGAAAGAGTAGGAGAGAGATAGAGACATAAGACTTTTTGGTGAGTGATTGAGAGAGTGATTAGTGTAGTCATATACGAAATCAAAATGTGAAGTTGGACTTGCTTAAAATGGTTGGTTTGCATTTGCATCATCATATTATCATTGCCTTCTGACACCTCGATAACGCCTTCATATCCTCCGTTCTTTCCGTCGTTAATGCCTTCTGTTCTGCCCAGGACGATCAGCTTCCTCCAACCATACCTTCTTTTCCAACAAATATAGTCTTGTGAAAAGATTAGAACCGTTAGATTAGAAAACGTAGGAATTTAGGTATTCGGTTAAGAATCCGGGTGGGCCGACTAGTCACAAATACATTATCATACACATATGGGACGAAGTCCAAAGATGTGGAGGAGCCATGTGCAAGGGCTGTGCATGTCCCGCCGTGGCCAACATATACAAGATACCGGTCTGCAACGCCTCTCTAAACTCAATTTCTGTCCGTTTATTGAATTGTGTTCTTGTAATCCTGTCCGTTAGAAGAACACTAATAATTTTTGTTCTATTTTATTTTCTATTTTTTCCTCTGGTTTCGTCCAACAACAACAACAACAACAAAGCCTTTTCCCATTAAGTGGGGTCGGCTATATGAATCCTAGAACACCATTGCGCTCGGTTTTGTGTCATGTCCTCCGTTAGATCCAAGTACTCTAAGTCTTTTCTTAGGGTCTCTTCCAAAGTTTTCCTAGGTCTTCCTCTACCCCTTCGGCCCCGAACCTCTGTTCCGTAGTCACATCTTCGAACCGGAGCGTCAGTAGGCCTTCTTTGCACATGTCCAAACCGCCGTAACCGATTTTCTCTCATCTTTCCTTCAACTTCGGCTACTCCTACTTTACCTCGGATATCCGCATTCACAATCTTATCCTTTCTCGTGTGCCCACACATCCCACGAAGCATCCTTATCTCCGCTACACCCATTTTGTGTACGTGTTGATGCTTCACCGCCCAACATTCTGTGCCATACAACATCCCTGGCCTTATTGCCGTCCTATAAAATTTTCCCTTGAGCTTCAGTGACCTACGACGGTCACACAACACGCCGGATGCACTCTTACACTTCATCCATCCAGCTTGTATTCTATGGTTGAGACCTCTATCTAATTCTCCGTTCTCTTGCAAGATAGATCCTAGGTAGCGAAAACGGTCGCTTTTTGTGATCGTCGCTAGATTGCTCCGGTCATTAGTGTGGATAAGTATATAAATGGATATAAAGATAGGAAAGCAAACACCAGATGTACGTGGTTCACCCATATTGGCTACATCCACGAAATAAAGGAGTTCTCATTAATTGTGAAGGGTTTACACAAGTACATAGGTTCAAGCTCTCTTTTAGTAAGTACTAGTGAATGATTTAGTACAAATGACATTAGGAAATATTGTGGGAGAATGATCTCGTAATCACGAAACTTCTAAGTTCTGGAGTGTGGTATCGTCTTGACTTGCCTTATCTGTCTCGTAGGTAGATGTGGCATCTTCTCTGGAAGTACTCTTCCTCCATCCAGGGGTGGTATCTTTAACTGGTGGAGATGCACAAGGTAATGTATCAATTTCACTTGAAGCTTACTTGTAGTTTCAGGCTTGGTCAAGCGCGATACAAACCATGTAGTAGGAGTCCTCCAAGTCGTCGAGCTAGGGGATCTGCTGAAAGAGGTGACAGACAAGGTAAGCAATCAGAGCTCCAAGCAATCAGTCCCAGATCAGAACTTTGATTTCGAGTTCCGGCTGATTGTTCACATTCTCCCTATCTTGTAGGCAGCATGAAGGATAAAGAGAAGAAAAATGAGAAGAGATGATATGGGATATTTTTGCTTTTGAAGAAGTAACTTTCCACAGGCTTATTCTTGAACTAGGCTGGAGGGTTTTCTGGTTTCCTCCAGAGTATAAGGCCGACTGAAGAATTTGAGGGTCAAAACAAGTCCATCAAATCTATAGTACGTTCGACCCTGCTGATATGAGATACTTTTGCTTTTGACAGAGTAGTGGATGTATCGGCACGTGTGCTGTTACGCTTGTCTCCACATGCTTCCTTGTATCCTTCTCACTTGCCCTATATGTGTTGGAAATGTGCCCTAAAGCCAATCATGTGATGATACTTTACGGACATTTCACATGTTAAACTAATCTAGTTTTACATATAAAGGGCAAAGATTATTGTTTGAGCCGTCTCATATAAATGTTATATGCTTAAACGATAAAGTCCAAGGAATATGTGATTGGGAGAATGTAATCTAATGAAGTTAGATTCATGAGACCATTCTTTCGTAGACACATCCTAAATGTTCCTGATCATAGGATTGTCAATTGGGCATTGACAGTCCGTTAAGATCGGTACGTACTATGTCTTCTCTCAGGAAGAGTGATTAGTCTCGAGTCATTGGTGTGTGTGACATCAAGACAAGTACGTAGGTGCTCAATAGAGAATGAGTACACTGAACGTGATCAACGAAGAGTTCTCATATTCCATGTCACATAAGAACTCATGGTTGGGATAATGCAAAGTAGTCCTTTGACCTGAGGCATCACAGTTGTCTTGTGGTTAAGTCCTTGATCTTTGATTATGTCAAAGTCACCCCCTCGGGGTGTCCACGGCATCGTTGGGGTCAAGTGACTTAGCTATGGAGACAAGTGAATGCGCAACAAGGGATCTCTAACCTTCAAACAGTTGAGGGAGAATACTCTATGATATGATTTAGAATCTCTGGCCAGAGTATGAATGAGATTAGGGAATGCGTTCCAAATCACATTCAAGTAAATCATATAAGCACAAGATTCACATTGGATAGTAGACATGAACAAATAAACTATCAAACCAAACAATGTGGTCAAGAGTATTAGATTAGAGAAAGATCGTATTGCATTTGTAATCCCGAACTGAATAGGTTCTCTAACCTCTTCTGATTAGCTTGGGTAACCATGACATGCTGCTAGGCGTCAACCATGGTTTGTGGAAGCCCTAAACGTGTGTAATCACTAAAGGGAGAATTGAAAATAGTTTCAATTCACAATCAATGTAAAATGGTTTTAATCGCCCACTACCTCGCTAAAAGGAACCTAATGGATCGCACACCATAAAAGGTGGAGATTGAAGATTAAACGGAGATGAGTAAGAATGATTAAATGGTTTAATCATTTAAATTATGGCAAGGATTAATTAATATGTTAATTAATCAAACGAATAAGTTCGTTAAAGACCTCGGGATAGTTTTGGACCTTAAGGCCCAATGGGCTTCGAAAGTCAAGCCCATTGACTTAAGTTGTATGACAACTTAATGAATAAAGATTCACAAAGGCCCAAAAGCCCAAAAATCCCTAGGTAGGCCGGCCATGTTAGATGAATTAGGGTTTTGGTTCTTTAGGTCACTTATTTGAAGGGACTATATAAAGGACTTTATAGCCAAATATTCATAATGTGATTAAGGATTAAAAGGGTTTATTTTGGGGGAAAATTGGTGAGAATTGTCTCTCCATTTTCTCTCTAAAGAGGCCAACACCTTGGAGGGTACATCTAGCAATCCTACTACTCCAAGGTCACTCATTTCTTCTACAATCTAACCTTGGTGAAGAGACTTAGAGGTTCTCAATTTTGGGAACTTGGAGAACCTATTCTTCCATCCAAATCCATGGATCTAAGAAGCAAGGAATGAAGGCCCCTATCTCTCTAGGTGATTAGCCTTTGCTTATGCAAAGAGGAATCTACAAAGGTATTAATTTCAACTCACTTTGTTTTGAGTTGATTATTGGTTCACCAATCTACTAGGCTTTGAATTTCATGGTAATGTTTTGTTTTTGAGTGCATACAAGCATGATTCCGTCTTTAATTGTTAATTGCATGCTATATGATGTTGCTCAAATGAACATGTTTTTCAAAATAATTCCTTCAATATGTTCCTCAGGCAGATGCGGTATCTTCCCTGGAAGCATAAGATGTTGAAGATGAGTACTCGAGAGCAATGCCAGGTAAGTAATCAAGTAGGGGGTTCCAGGCAGTCAGTTCCTGACTGGAAGCTTGATTCCAAGTGCTGACTGATTGCTCTCTTTCTCCTTGTCTTACAGGTAAGAACAAGGCCAAAGGAAAAGACAGGGAAAAAACATGATATGGGATACTCTTGCTTTTAACCCTGATGATATGAGATATTCTTGCTCTAGTATAGCTTGTTTGCAGAGGTATTATCGGGGGGAAAGAAAGCTGAATATTTCGAAAGGCTTCTTTGGGAGTGCCCTCTCAGATATGAGGAAAGGTTGAGCATTTTTGCAGGTTTGCCTGTCTGTTAGGGATGGAGGTCAACATATATAGGAGTCTCCTTAACAACAAGTAGTAATGCTATTCCTTTACCCTGCTTGGTCATAACACGGTAGTGGGAGCTGCCAGCTTCACATGTTTTAACTCTGTCAGAGCACTTTGAAAAAGTGGTCTGTGGTATCTGGAAATCTGATGTTGCGTGTAAAGATTACAGACAAGCTTTATCCAAGGAGATTCGGCTCTTGAAGTTGGGAAAGTGGTGCCTCTTCGGTTTTCGAACAAGCA